GCTCCACCATCCCAAGCCCCACCATCCTTGTCCCCTGTCCCGCTGTCCCCTCTCCCATCATTCTCTATCCTGCTGTCCCCAGCCCCACAGCCCCTGTCCCACTGTCCCCAGCCCCACGGCCCCTCTGCTGTCCCTTAGCTGGGCTGGTGCAGGTCTGGGTGGCTTTTCCCACCAGTGGCCCAGAGGATCCTGAAGGTGAAGAACCACGTGCTGGCAGTCGGAAGCACCCGATACCCACTGGAAGTGACCCTGCCCGCGGCAGARCTGAGCCCCAATGAGGTACTGAGGGACTGTCACAGCCCCAGCTGCTCCCACACAGGCTCTGTGCCTGGCAGACAGCTCAGGGAGGGACCTCACTCTCTCCTTTGGTCTTAATTACACTTAAACCCATTTCCATTCATATTCAAATTAAGATTTTCTTTTTCTGTGCTATTGACACAGGGACAGCCAGGCAGGCTGTGTGSTCAGTCATCTGGCATTTGTGCCTGTCAAATGAAGGATAGGCTGGAGAGAACAGGCACTTTCCCCCAGTCCATCTGGTGCCACATGGGGGATCTTGTTAATGCCTCTGCCCTGTCATCAGCTGGACATACAGTGTATTGTTCCTCTCTCCTTCTCAGGAAAGCTTAGGATACAGACRTGCTGGTGTCTAGGAAACACTGGAGAGTTCTTTCCTCTCCTTCCAGTCTCAGGAGACTGTGGCAGTAGTCATGTCTCATGTTTTCGTCTCTGAGCCCCAAAAACAAGGGCATGGGAATTAGCCTGGCCTTGCAGACCTTTTTGCAAGCATTTGGTACCAAAACTGCCTGAAGATCTGCAACTGAAGCTCTGCAGAGGGCRACTGCCTTTGAGAAGCAGAAACAGTAGTGGGTTTCTTGTGTTTGGGCTTTTTGGAGAGCTCCCAGTGTGTAGAAATGTAGCCCTATCTCTGTGCAATTTCCCCTTTTGATTCCTTGTTTGCAGAAGGATTTTGRCAAGYGCACAAAGGCCAAGGAGTTGCTTAWTCTGGGTCTTTTGGTCCTGTSTGTGTCAGRGTCCATCTCTCTTGAAAGTAGGATGTGAGGGAGAGAGGTGGAAGACTCTGTGTCATCTGCCATAATAATGCAGGGGCCAGGTACACTTGCCTTTGGAAGGGGCTGGTTTTGGTCCTTGCTCTCTCACTCCCTTGCTATCTACTTTGCAGATTATCATACGTGCATGCTTGACAATTGACTATGGCAAGCTTCCCACGGGCAAAAGCCTCCTGAAGGCCTTGCACAAAGGCTACAGCAATGTACAGCTCAGCTTTGACTCCAAGAATACACACTGCATAGTCCAAGGACCATTCACYGAGCTGCAGACCTTCAGCAGAGACCTGCTAGGCAGCTTGAACCTCAGGAGCCGAGCCACTGGGGACATCCTGCTACCAGCTTCCAGCCCTGGAAGGGACAAAGAGAGGGGAGTGCAAGTGCCTGATTCCCCTGAGCCAACACAAGAGACAGCAAAGCTGCCAGATTGGGACCAGACCTATGGAACAGCAGCTGAAGTCCCATCACCTCGGAGCCCAGTGGATGGGGAAGCTGTGGAGCTTTTGGGGAAGCTGGAGGACTTTTCCCTAGCGATGGACTCGGACATTTACTTGTACATGCAGAGGTTCTGTGCTGCTGAGTACCAAGGTGTGCTGCAGAGACATCACGTGGATGCGGTGGATGTCAGCGGCGATGGCATTGCCATGTTGTACCTCCAACCTTCTGCAGGTGTGTCTGGGGGCACAGAGGCTCTAAAACAGGCTCACCTGGCCCTGCAGCAGCTCCAGCAGCAGCTGGAGGTGAGTCTGCGCAAGGAGAAGATTGCTAAGGGAGGGCTGGGAGTGGACAGCCAGGCACTCGGGGCTCTGACACGKGAGCTGCAGAAGCTTTATCCCCAGGTGCTCTGCCACGAGGATGTGAAGCAGRTTTATCTGATTGGAAACCTTGTGGATGTGTCCCAGGCCAAGCAGTACCTGCAGGATTCCATCAACAGGAGAGGTGATGCACACATGGCTGACACGCTGAGCAGCTCCCAGCCCTCACACCCCACAACCTCTGCCACCACAGAGGCTGTGCTACACCAAAGTGCCAAAAGTGCCAAAGTGCCTGGGGATATTTCAGCCACAAGACTGAGCCCAGGCAGGCCAGAGCTGAAGGGTGAGTTCAAGCTAGCTGCCAACTTCAGYGCCCTGAAAGGTGACAGGTCTCAGGCTGGCCAGGGCCTCCTGCTGAGTCAGGRCTCTYCACCGGTGGGACAGGTGCAGCTTTYTGRGAAACATTCAGCAGAGATAGATGCTCCTGGTCTGAGTAACCCAAAAGCACTGACCCACCAGTGCCAGCCTCCCAGAGCAAATAAGGTTCTGGGGTCAGGAGCACACCCTAAAGAATGGGACCACGTGGAAGGAGGTGCCAGACTTACAAGACAAAAGGTGCTGCTGCCCTTTGTGAGCAAAGAAAACAGCACTTTTCAACATCCTGAGGACTCCAAAGGCTCAGGTCCCAGTGGGCACCACTCCCTTGCTGGCATTTCCCACACCTGTGATGTGACACGGATCTCTTCTGCTTTAGGTTCCAAACCCTCTTCATCCAAGCCTCTGCTGCGGCGCTCCAACAGCTTCTCTCTACCAAGGTCAAAGGAAAGAAATGATTCCCAAGACAGCAGCAGCAGCAGGCTGAGTGAGGAGATGAGCCTGGACTCTCTGCAGTGGTTTTACCTGAAAGATGTCTACCACRCCACTATTGCTGACCTGTGCAGGGCAGGAGGGGTGCACATCTCAGAGCGCCACACTGGGGACTGCACAGTGCTGACACTGCAGGCAGCAGACACCAGAAGGCTGTTCCAGGCCAAATGGAAGGTGGAAGAGCTGGTGCAGAAGTGCCCTGACTTGGTGTGTCAGAGCCTGAGCTATTCAGAGCTGGCTGTGGATGGTCCAGATGACAGTGCCCTGAGTGAACTGTGCAGCCTCCTTCGAGGAAACTCCCTCCAGGTTGGACTCAGCAAAGACAAGCACAAGCTTCATCTTGCCTGCCCCAAGGACATGCTGCCAGGAGTGACWGAGGCCTTCCACACATTTTCTTCCAGGAGGCTCTGTGCCATGAAGTCTTCATCCCTGTCTCCTGGACCAGAGAGTACAGGGCAATCCAGTGTCATGCAGCCAAGCAGAAGTCAGGACCCAGTGCTGGATGCAGCCCTTCCTGGYAGCCTGAATTCCCAACAGCACCTGAATGTCAGCAATAAAGTAAACTCCACAGATGTGCTCAGGGCTTCCTGCATGCCTGAGGCTGAGGAAAAGAGGTCCCCCAGTCCCTGGAGGGGGCAGGAGGAGCCCAGCGGCCGTGCTGATTCTGGGGCTGGGAGAGGAGGAAGCAGCTTTCTGAGCCTTGGTGCTGGGGATAAGCCGAGTCCTTCTGGTCTGAGGGAGTCCCAGGAACAGCGGAAGACAAAACTGGCTCTGGGGGAGCCTGACACCACCCGACTCAAACGGGTGTTACCAGACAAATTCCAGTTTGGAAGAGACAAGAGCAGAGGAGGCCACAGTGAAGCGATGGGACAGCAGCACAGTCCAGTCCCTGCAGCTGATGGAGCTCCTCACTCCCTGCTCACCTGGCTACCCAGGGCCACGGCTGCTGAGCCACCACCAACTGTGGCCCAACAGGCACCTGCAGCAGAGCCCAGGGCTCAGGGAAGGGCCCAGCTCCCAAGAGACAGGAGCAWTGAGCAGGAGGAGCCTGCCCTCCCATCACAGCCCAGAAGAGACCCCAGCCTTGGACAGGAAAGCAGCACARTCCCTCTGGGCCAGTGTGATGCTTGCCAGGGCTCAGGTGTGACCTGCCAGGGCTCCTGCGGTCACGCCTTGTGCAGGACATGTTTTGCAGCAGACAGCGTGCAGCCAGCTTGCTGCAGATCCTCCTCAGCTGCCCCACRTTGCAAGGTCTTGGGGACATTCAAGATCTCCTCCCTGTCCCAGAGCCTTCCTGGATACTATCGAGACCCAACGCTTCAGGTTGCTTACAGCATCCCTGAYGATGTGCAGGGGGTAGGTACCCACTGCAGGGCTTCCCCATCCCACTGCAGCMCACATGGGGGGGTCTGGCAGGGTGGCTGGGGGCAGAGGAGCAGCCACAGCTCCCTGCCCCACATGCAAAGCAGCAGAGGTGTTGACCTGTGAAAGGCAAAAAGCTCCACACCAGGTTTTTGAGCAGGTTGCTGCTTCTCTGTTTTTGGTTGACAGTGACTATCAGCCCCCGGGCCTGTCGTTATCTGTGTAGTTTTCAAGCTAGACAAAACCTTAGAAATCCCCTCAGAGACACAGCACTCCAGCCATTGTTTAAAATGTCTTCTTCCTGTTCCAAGGTTGGGGACCCTCACCCAGGACAGCCTTACAAAGGGGGGGATTTTTGTGCCTTCCTGCCTGACAACAGGGAAGGGAGGAAGACAGCAATGCTGCTGAAGAAAGCGTTCGAACGTGGGCTGACATTCCAGATCAAGTCCTGCAATGGAGAGGAAAGAGTGACATGGGGCCTTATCCCACACAAAACCTCCTGGGATGGAGGCAAAGCCAGGTATGGCGCAGCTCATCCTAAGTTTCTGGGTCGGGTTATTTGTGTTTTTGCAATTGGGGGAGGAGAATCACGGGCTCCAGCTTAACAAATCCTGGCAGGGCTGGCTCTTCCACCCTCCCACGGTGGCAGAGTTGGTGCCTCCCTTTGCTTCAGCTTGCAGGGCAGCCCTGGCAYTCTCCAGCTGCAGCAAAAGCCCTTGCCCATCCCACACTCATAAGTGGTGTGGCAATCCATAAGCTCCTCCTGGATAAAAATTCTGGGCCCTGTTCACTTTGCCAGGACAGCGCTGAGTCCAAGCTGTGCCTGCAGGCAGCAGGACATCCCAGGASCTGCACTTCCACTCTCAGCCCCTGCTGAAAGCTTGGGGCCAAAATAAAGTGCTGCTTCCCACTGTGGTTTTGGCACATCAGCAGGATTTACAGTGCTGCCCTCTCTGCCCCACAGGAATGGCTACCCCGATGCCCAGTATCTCCGGGAGGTTGGCACAGTTCTGAAGAAACTGGGTGTTGTGTGATTCTCCCACAGCCTGTGGCTTCCCTTCCTGCTGAGAAAACTGCAGCTTAACAGAGCCAGCTCAGCAAAACGCGGGTGTTGGAAATCTGCACCTTAGCAAACAGCAGCACCTCCATCCCTGCCCCCTGCAGGCCTCAGTGTGGATCCGTGCTTCCCAGAAATCCCAGMTCCTCTTGGATGCTGTCCTGCCAGCCAGTTACAGGTTGGAGTTACAACAATAACAACAGTTGAAATAAGTTACAGCTTATTTCAGCTGATTCTAGGCTCAGCCCCATGTGGCTTTCAGCAGGACGCAAACCCAGGCAGGGCTCTGCACCAAATCAAGCCCCAGCTTCTGGAAGTCTCTTCCACCTCCTGCCACTGCAGGTTCCAGCTCTGCTGCCAGAGCCCGGGCTAGATATGAACYGTCATTAATGTCAGCTCTTCACATTGACAGTTCAGGCCTCAGCAGACAGCCCCATGCTCCAGCACCTGCTCTGAGGCCAGCAGGTGTCCTGGTGCTCCCTTGGGGAGAACATTAACAGCTTTCASTGCCCACAACAGCTGCCTCCCAGGGACAGTTTCTGACTGAAGATACACAAATAAACAGGATTTATTCAYGTGTTTGGGAGTGGCTGTTCATGCCTTGCCTTACCCTCAGCCCAGGCACCCACTTCAGTCCCAGCTGGTTGCTGAGACACCCAGACACAAAGCACAGAGCCCAGATAAGGGCTGTGCAAACAAAAATCACCTTCCACGAGGAAGGGTGTTAGTAACAACACTCGAGACAACAATTAACAGCTGTCCTTGAGAGCAGAGGCATCTCCTCATGCTGGGAGTGCTACACTCTGCCAACTGAACCTGCCCAGAGCTGTGGGCAGAGGGCTCCTGACAACAGAAATCCCAGCAACGTACTGTGGAAGGTTTTGTTAYGCTTTAATTACCATTTGAAACACATAAGGCATATGGTAACATTTGACAGAGGAGCAGTACACATTGTAGTCATGTAAACAGCAGTGGCACGGTTGTTTTCTGTCCAACTTGGTTACACACAGTAAGCGAAATATATTTTTGAAACAAAAGATTTGCTGTCTGTAGGATGAGCATCACTCCTATCACATATCTGCAAATCAACACAATTCAGACCAGACCATATGCTGTAAGAGGCTCACTCAGAGTCTAACACATTTCACATCATGCTCATGTACTACTTGCCAATAACACTTTGCCATCACAAGGGCTCAGCACACCAGAGACTTCAGGCAACAGGAGTGGTTTAACACCTATGATAGCAGCTGGCAGCAGGCCAGGATCCTGCACTAGCTGAAGCCCGACACACACAGTGCTTCTTACTTCTCCCTGGCCAATCGATTCTAGTCTAACACGGGTGTCTGAAACAAAACACAAAGCTGAACTCCTTCCCAGAGCACTTGGCAGGGCCACACTCCTCTGCGCAAGCGCAGGCCACCTGTGCTCCCTTCCCCTCCTGCAGTCAGCTTGCAACACAAGTGAGCTTCAGAGAAATCAAAGAGTCAAAAATGTGGCAACCACTGCCTGGTGATAGCGAAGGAGTTGCACTTTGGCCAAGAGCAGCAGCACCAGGCTGGGAGGCCACTACAGCAATGACAGGAGAGGCACTCACACTGGCCCCCCATAGCAGCCAGGGCTGTGGACACCTCCCCTGCTCAGCAACTCCTCACACTTCCACCTGGACTCCTCATGGCACAACCTTTGAGTCAGACAATCAGTAAAAATAAACGTTAAATTGCACTTCTGCAATGGCACACAGGATTAAGCACAGGAATCTCCCAGTTCCTCAGTAGCACAACTTTGCCCTAAACAAGCAACACTGAATGGAATGATTTTTATCCTAGGGTTTCGTTTTGGTTTTTTTGCTTTGGTCCTTAGTATACAAACCGGCTGGTTAACTTGATTAAGACACTTGAAGTTGTTTTGACATAGGTTCTATACTTCCTGGCCCAAAAAAAAAAAAAAAAAAAAGTAAAAAACCAAAACACAACCAACCACACCCACCTAGAGCAGAGCATTGAGCAGGGGCGGAGGATTGCAAAATTACATTTAAGCTTGGTCTTTCTGTAGAAAACACTTGCTACCAAGAGACACAAATTAGCCAGTGCTGAGCTCTAACTGGCAGTAGCTGCTTGGCATTCCTGCCTTGATAAGGACTTCAGGAATTTCTCRGTAGAAGATATGAGCAGCTACCCGAAGAGAGCCAGGAGCTGGGATTGTTTTCAGAGAGCCAAGGCTGGAGCAGCTGATAAAGCCTCACTTGAGGCTCACTCTGGAGCCAAACAACTGCCCTGGGGGAGACAAGGGCTTTACAACAGATCTTATGGATTGGGGAGTACAGAACCACCAGGTCAGCCCTGGGAAGGCTGCAACACCTGGGGAGAGAACAGCTAATTCAGGGAAAGTCTAACGACATCACCAGCGTTCACAAAACAGAGCTAATAAGAGTCAAAACAGGGTTTTGGCAATACTTTGAAAGGCCAGAATGGAAAAAGGCCCCAGTGACTTGCCASTCATGTGGCAGAAGGCACCGAGATGCTGTTCCTGGGGCACACCAGGAGGCAGSAGGTCAGGGGGTCGGGTGGGAAGCTGTGAGTGACCGCCTGACCCAAGGCCATCCACGTAAGGCACTGAGCACGTGCTCGGCTCAGAGTGAAGCAGGGAGAGGATGTCACCATCAAACACACCAGGACAGTATTTTCCTTTTACAACTGTGCAGAACTGGAAGATGTGTGGGGCAGGATGCCCTGTCATCAAGGTGAAGTCCAGTTTCTCAGAGGAACAGGTCCAGACTTTCCATTTCAGCAATTTAGACTGTCCTTCTGTTTTCACACCTGGTAAAGCAGCATTAGACACTGTTGGATTTAATCTAAACCAGCAYGACAGGGCAGGCTGAAATAAGCAGCAAGATTTTGGATTCAGAAAGGTAAAAAGTTGTGCTTGTGAATTCCATCAGCCCGTGTTTATGAAGTTCAAGAGATGAACTGACAAGGATCTGTGAGAGGGCTCCGGCACGCCTCTGAGGTTGYAGGGAACAGAGATGTTGCAATATTTAAAGTTAGCCAGGGCAAGGCCCCTGGAGGCTGTGCCTGKGCATTTCTAAAGAACTCTGGACTGAGCCAAAGCACCTGAACTACAAACTGCACTGATAGAGAGGAGGCCCACTGGAGCAGGCTGAGGAAAAAGCCCCAGAGGAAGCCCAGCCCAGAAGGTGCCTGCCCTCTGTGGGCCCTGGACCCTCCCTGTGGGCTGGTTAAGCAGGATTCTAGGCTCAAGGTGTTGCTTCTGGAGCCTGAGCTCTTCCACAATGGGCAGTTCTTCTTGGTGCTCCTGGGTTTACCATTTCCAATCCAAAATGAAGCCCAAAACCTGCCACACCTACAGTCCATGACAAGTAAGCACCAAAAGCACCAGAGCTGCCTAGGGCTGCAAGCAGGGGCCAGGGGGAAAGACAGCATTACCCAGGACTCAAGGTGCTCAGGAACTGGGCTTGCATGGATACACAGCTCTGTTTCCAAATGCACAGAAGGAAAGAAAAGCAGAAGAGAAAGTTCTGCAATAGGAGAAGCACCCCAGGCAGCTCCTAAAGCCTCAGTGCTGSAGCCCCAAGACACAGATTCAGGGACAAAAAAGCCCTACTGCAGCAAGTAAGCCAGGACACAATGGAAAACTGCCCTGAGTGTGCAGGTCAAGAGGCTTGGCACACAGCAGGGCTGTTCATCATCTGACTGCTACCCTGGCAACAGCTTTGCTGGCCAGTGTGCCACAGGGAGAGCCAGCCCRGGCCACTGGGCAGCCAGCCCACAGGAGCAGCTCCTGAAAGTTCCTTCCCAAACTACAACACCTCCTCAGTGCACGGGGCACAGCACAAAGCATTAACAGGGATTATTTTGTTTCTACCTCGATGAAGTTCAACTCAATACTGCAGCCCTTGGAAACACAAACACAAGGGTGAAGCCCTGACAATAACAACTTGGAGCCCAATGTAATAAAGCACAGAGCCAACATCAATTATTCCAGTCGTTTGAGACACAGTCGAGTCCTTATGGTCTCTAAGAGTCAGACACCGTTCAGGTCTCTCTACGCAATTTGGAAATAGAAAATGGACAAGATCAGGTTACTTAATTGAAACTTTTYTTCTGTAGTCAGATGTAGCCCAGCCTGTCAGGGTATTTACTGACTGCACAGAGAGTATGATATRCCACAGACTCCAGATTGCCAGGATGGTCAAGGCAAAGACAACAGGAGCTGTTACCACCTGACTGTGTTAGTGGYTACAAAAAGCAGAGGGAACAGAGCTGGGTTAGTGTGAGCAGAGAGAACCCCCTGCTCAAATTAAACCAGGCCAGCTGTGGTTTTCCTTTGGAAACATCCCACATTTGGCCAACCCTCTGCTGAACGGGGCTTCCCAAGGGTGACAGAGCAAACGCCTCGGGAGGGCTCAGTTTCTGCACAGACATTTGGCAGTTGTTGCAGCACATTGCGCCATGAGTTTACAGCGACAGGCTGTGCAGTTGTTAGTCACCAACTGCTTGCAAGCTTCAGCCTCACTGCCAGGGAAAAATAAGGTTAGTGTGGAAAATCAGTAAGGAAAAGAGTGATTAGAAAGCAGTGTGAAATAAACAGGCTTCAAAAGAGAGAGCAGGAGGCATATCTGGCAAAGGGTCAGTCACAACAAGAGCATGCAAACCTCATCTGAAYGATAACCATGATGTTCTTGTACTGGTGAAAGATGGAGGATACTGATCTGTCCATTTCCAGGTCCCAAAGAGATCAGGGAGTTAAACCATGAATTCATAATCTGCATACATCTCCTTAGTTCTCTGCTTTTTTAGGTTCTTCCTTGGGTGCTTCAGGAACCAAGATGACTTTTCCAACATTCTTCTTTTCTTGCATCTGCCTCATAGCATCTGCCACCTGAGAAAGGAAAKGAGTCTGGTAAGACCTCCACCCACTGTAGAGCGTGTCCATGCCCTTCCTGGGCTTCCCAAACCCCCCAGCCCAGTCTGAGGGATGGCTGGCAGGCAGATTTCCCAGCAGTTCAAGCAAGTCCCAAGCATTCAGGAGTCTCTGCACAGGTGTGTTGTGAACTTAACAGGCCCATAGGAAATTATCCTCAAGAATTCACACAAACCCTAACACACACAAGGATGCCCTGCTCATACAAATATGGAAGTGCAGTGTGTGTCAACACAGCTTCCTCTCCAAAGGGAGGGGAGCTGCAGGAACCTGGCCATCTGCCAGGAGAGCAAAGCCTCTACCAGCCACACAAAACAATGTATGCACAGAATTATATMATCATTATCATTATTTTTAAGTACCTGGGCCAGGCCTGGAATCAAAGTTTTCCTTAAGCCTTTGCATCAGACTTATTCTCAGGTTTGAACACAGATCATCACTAAATTCTTTGCTCCCCTGCAGCAAGTCCTGCCCCAGMACAGGATTTCCAAGGGAAGAGCCTGGCTCTGCCTGGGCACATCGATGCAATAACCCTGAATGAAGCAGAGCTGCTGGAAAACCTGCTGCTCCCTTCCAGCATCATTCTGCTTCACTGCCTGGGCTCTTCTGCACTCTTGGAAGAGCAACAACAATGTTCCCATCTGTCTGCTTAATTACAGRGTACAGACTACCCAGGGCATCCTCCAGACTGATGCATAACCCKCCCCTTCCTGGCTGCTGCTGCCCACGGAGCACAGCCGAGCACCTGCCCTGCTCCACAGGGACACTGTCTGGCATTGCCCAGCCCTGTGCACTGGAGCAGAACAGCCCAGCCACTTTACTCAGCCTTAATATTTTAAAAGGAAGAAGGCACTGACTGTCTGAGAACATACAGTTATTAGATATTTTCAACATTTCAGCCCCCGTGAACGRGGTGCTCTCTCTGTACCACAGCCAGCCTTTAAGTTAGCTCAGACTCACCTGATCAAAGGGCCATACAGAGTCTATTTTGGGCTTGATTTTGCCTTGACTGTACAGGTTAACCAGCTTGGTTACAACACCTCTGATAAGCTCTGTTTCTTCATCCATGTATCCAAGGTGGTAGCCACACACAGCCTTGTTCTGGTGCAGGATCTGCAAAGCAGTGATGCTGAACTGGTTCCACCAGGTTTTAGCCATGGCCATGAGGTTCCTCTTCTGCCCAGTGACCAGGTTTGCTACACCTGAAAAGAAGAAAAGCCACAGGTAAGCTGGAACACRACACAAGAGGCAGTGGGCATCCCATGGGACAGCTCAGACCACACACAGGGAACARCCACTCGACAGAGATGAGATCTAGATCACAGCAGAACCTGCCCAGTTCACCTTCAATGGAAACAGGCACCTGCCTCAGCCTCAGGATATGTGGAATTTGGATTATCAGCACTCATATGGCAAAAATGAAGAACAGCTACTCTCTTTGGCCCTCCTAAGGCAGCAGTCAAGCAGCACCGCAGCCAGACTGGAGTGCTGGAGAGGTAAGAAAGGGTTACAAGTGACACCCAGCCAGGCTGGCAGGACAGCTYTCCCCTTCTCCTACAGCCCTGCTTCTTCAGGAGAATCACACACTGCAGTGGCTGGGACAAGCAAAGCAGCACACTGCTGCAAGTGTCTGGAATCCCACGGGGGGTTGTGTGAGGGCTTTGTCTATGGGACAAAATCACAGTGTTCCAGGGCTGGGGAATGGAGAGATAAGTATTCAGCAGCCTCAAACCTCATCACCCACACATCCTCTAAAAGAAAAGCAGGGCTGTGCATTAACTCAGCCTAGACAAAGCAGCTGCACCAATATTCCTCCATGGGGACATTCCAACTTCCCTGCAGGCACCAGAGAGATTTCACCCCAGAGGGAAGAGCCTTGGAGCCTGTGACCACAGCTCTGGGGACAAGAAACAAATCTCCCTCCCCTCWGCATCTCACCAAGGCAAAGCATCCTGAAAACCTTCATGATGAACAACAGAGCTACAGCACACAGTGCAGTCAGGAACAGTGATGGGATGTTCTCTGACAGCCATGCACCCTGACAAGGAGCATTCCTGTGTGGATCCCACTCCATCATCCCACAGTCCCCCCGTGCAGGTGCTCTGCTCAGGCACTCTGCTCACACTCACCATAAATTATGATTTTGCCCATGGGCTTTAACAGGTTAAACGCTTTGGCTGTATCAGATCCTCCCAGTGGGTCCAGGACAATGTCAACACCTGGAGAGGGAATCAGAAGTAAATAAAAGTTTCTTTGACATTGAAAGAAATGCCAGGCAGYTGCCAAAGTCCTCCACATCATACCTTTGGGAGAGATTTTTCGGATYTCCTCTGCATAATCCATGGTTCGGTAGTCAATGGGGTGAGCAACTCCGCTCTCCTTGAGTAAATCATGCTTGGGGGCAGATGCTGTGCCAAAAATGGTGACATTTTCTACAGTCTTGCACAGCTGGATGGCAGCAGTTCCCACACCACCTGAAAAGCAGCAGAAGCAAAGAGGCCCAGGGGTCAGAAAAACCTCTGAACAGGTGAATTATCCCTGCCTGTACCAATCACACAGCACAGCAGCCTCTGGAATAGAGGCTCTGCCTGGTGAGGTTGGTGCTGGGTACACTGGGAGAGACTGACCCCAGCAACATTTTGTCAGTCCAGCCCCATTCTGATCATTTCCTCACCCATTTATTCAAAATTATTATTATTATTCAAAAGCTGTGTGGTGAAACCAGGACTCTCAGCATGCTCTGAAGAACTATTTACCTGCAGCCATGTGGATGAGGACACTCTGGTTGGGTCTCAGGTTCCCAAAGTCGAACAGAATCATGTAGGCAGTGATGTAGTTAACAAGAAGAGCAGCTGCTTCCTCGAAGCTCATCCCCTCAGGCATTGGGAAAGTCTGACTGACCGGCACATTGACGACTTCTTGCCAGAGCCCCGACCTAGCCAGGATCATTACCTTGTCGCCAACCTAAAACCAGASGACAAGGTGGTCTGAAACCAACCCCAGGCTAGCAGAAGCCATCACAGCCTYGCCCTTGGGGTGTCAGAGATAGTGCATGCACATTGCTCTCTGTGCAAAGGTCTGCAGGGACTGCAGCACCCCTGGACCCTGCACCCTGCTCTTTGGGAGAGTGCAGCACAGCACCTCTCACCACACACCTGGGTACCTGCCAGGAACCTCAGACCACAGGCGCTCCAGGCTCTTTGTGGATACCCAAACCCAAACTGTGGTTGCCCAAACCAACCACTGGATTCCTGTTGGATCCACACCAAGGCAAGAGGGATGAGGATCATGTCCTGCCCTCCTTGCCCAAGCTGGGCGCAGGAGTCAAAACACCAAAGAACCGCTGCTCGTTACAGGGAGGCAGAAGCCTTTGGGAAGTGTTTAGCAGCACCAATCATGGAACATGCATGTCCARCCTCAGGGAAACCTCCCGGCTCTAAGGCACACGGCCGTCCCAGCTCCGCCCCGTCGGGTGGCAGCGCTCCCGTGGTCCCGGAGCAGCAGGGCCGGCCCGGGGATTCCTGCCCGCCCTTCCCCTTTGTCCAGTCCCTTTGTCCACCGCCCGGTCACCGCGGGATCGGACGGGCCCCCAGCGGGGGCTGAGCGCTGCCGGGGCGGGACGGGTCCCGGGACCGCCACCAGCGCCGGTGGAGCGGCCGGGGCTGCTGGTACCGGGCCCTCCCGGGGGCGGAGGCGGTCGGGTTCGCACCTCCGGAGCGGTTCGGAGCCCCCAGCGCTGCGGGAGCACCGGACCGGGCCRCCCTCACCTGTCGGTCGCGGACTCCGTCGCCGAGGGCGCGGACGGTGCCGGCGCACTCCATGCCGGGGCAGAAGGGCGGCGCCGCCGGTATCCGGTCRTACACACCCTGCCGGGCCATCAGGTCAGCGAAATTGAGGCCGCAGGCGTGGACGGTCACCGACACCTCTCCGGGCCCGGGGTCGGCGCCGCGCCGCGCYTGCACCTTCATCTTGTCGTAGCCGCCGAAGCCCGTCAGCACCAGCGCCCGGTGCTCGGCCGCCTCCCCGCCGCCCGTCTGCGGCTCGGGGCCGGGGGCCGGCTCGGGGGCGGCGGAGGCC